ATTTGGCTAGTATTTCAGTTCCACACATCTAAACGTTCAACTATTTTTTTTTTTCACCCGGCTATTTATATTCCGGACGGAGAATTTTCTCACTTAATTCAAGTCATCTTTTACATGCAACCTAAAAAAGATAATTTTTGTTGTCATTAACTGGAAGGACAAATCGCTACAAGAACATCGGTGCCAAAAAAATGCTTTTTAAACAGACTGAGATTTTTTTTCCATAAAGTTTCAATTTCTTTTGCACACCCGTTCCGCTGATCGCGAAATTGACAGGCTTATGGCTGACGTCATGAGACATAAATTCAGAAACTGATCAAAGACGGGATTGTATATATGTATGCTTGTCCAACTTTATAGGGTCGCCAGTATTGTTTCATATCAATCTACGTAACGCATCTTACTGGCATGTTTTACCTTTGAACAGCAGTTTCAGTTTGTGAATTGGAAAAAGTATTTGTACAACTCCGCAGTTGTTTACTTGTATCTAAAGTCACGTGACTGTTCCTTTACGTCATGTCTCCTTTGTTTCCGGGAGCCTTTCGAGAGAGGACTTAAACGAATGAACGTTTAAGAAAAAAATTCTTAAAAAATCACGTTGTGTTCAAATCACATTTTTTCATCAAAGGTTCCTGTAGAAATGTGTTGTAATTTAGTAGGGCTTCACGTATTTAGAAGGCTTGTTTGAATAGTAAACGCTATAAGCTTGTCTGACTAAGCACATGGTAAACGAACGAACTGTGCACGTGCAAAGTATATGGGATATAACAAATGCCAAATGCCCCCACTTGAAATCAAGGTAAGAAAAAAGAAACTTAATTAATACAGCGATAATGTAGTTTACTAATAGAGCCCATGTAAGTGTCTTGAGCATCTCTCGTAATTCTGGTAAAAATAGTACAACTTCTGAGGCGGTTTGCACTAGCTGAGTGGATACCCTCGCTCAAACTTTTCAAGGGTTGAGGTTTGTAGTGTCGGATCTTGCACGGACACATCCGACTATGTACAGGAAGTATCCGTTTTGCTATAATTTATAGCCGGAGTATCAGGTACAGGTATGGCTTCCCTCGACGCTGGAGGAGTAGGTGTGGCAACAGGCATATCAGCCTTTTTATAGGTTTGCTGGACAAAACATCTGAATACACATTGTCTTTGCCACTCGTGAATTCAATAGCGTAGTCATAAGCAGCTAAAAGCAATTGCAACTTTTTGATTCTTGCAGTTGCCAACTGGGGAACAGGCTTGTGTTCTCCGAATAAGGTGATCAGCTCTTTATTATCCGTAAGAAGTTTGAAATGTCTTCCTTACAGGTACTGACGAAATTTGATGACATGGCCAAAATCAGCGGCTAAGAACTCGCGCTCAATTTTAGAGTAATTTTGCTCTGTATTATATATTAAGTATCCTGGATGCATAAGCAACCGATTGTGATGTACAATCAGGTCCAGGTTACAATAAGGCAGCTCCTACACCCACTGAAGAAAGATGACACTGTAGAACTAACACATTGGGATCATAGTGACGTGCAATAGAATCTGAATAAAGAACAACCTTGATATTGTCAAAAGCATCTGGTTCAGTTTTGGACCATCTCCACGTTACCGCCTTACTAAGTAAACTGTACAACGGTGAGGCAATGTTTACAAAATCTGGCGCAAATTTACGAAGAAAGTTTGCAATTGTTGATCCAAAGGATGACCGTAATTCAGGTACACTTGTGGGGGGGCCGCATCCTTTATTGCCTGCATCCTCTGAGCAAACTCTCGTCAACAATCTTAATTTTGAAACAACAATCTAGATTTGCGTTCAAGCATGACAAACGGGAAAGTAGGAGAGCTGAGCTTAGGAGATACCCTGTTTAGGACAGACTCGTGCGAAATTATATACCCTGTTTAGAACAGAGAGGATCACGAAAACCAAACCCTATCCAGCGGCACATCCCCGTATAGGCCATATAAGAGAGTACCCCCTCTCCCTCGGGATATGAATCTAGACTGATTGTTCTAGACACTGACGTCCAAATGTTACTGTAAAAAAGGAATATATTCATGTAAAATGTAAGAATAGAGGTGTGTGGGTGGTGTGGTGGTGTGTGGTTTACCAATGGTAAATTGCGCATTTGTATTGATCCTCAGCTCAAACACAGTCAATCCCTCAAAAAGCTTTATTGCTTTTCGAAGTGCCTCTTCTCCAATGGCTCTGGTCAGCTCTTACAACATTATCTGTGAATCCACTTTCTCCAGGTCTAGAATGCCGACCTGCTTGCAGTAGCAGAGAGCATTCGTGCATTCGTCCCTCAATCTTTTCCAAGCGAAAGTGTACATGACTTATAGATCATGTAGTCGAGCCGTTGTTGGGGTAGATTACGCGAGAGTCGGTCTTCTCAGTCTCGCCTGCTGATGTGTCGCCCAAAACCTCGTTAAGAGCTACGTTTATGAGGTTTTTTAACCCGCCTAAGAAATCGTCACTCATGACCTCGCCTATGGCATTTTCAATACCTTTATCTGACACGCTTGTGACCTTAATTTGGTATTTTTCTGACTTATCCACAACGGATACAACAGGAAGGCTTTTGTCTTCCGCTGCTTCGTCCCCCATCTTGTTGGATGCTGCTGTAATCTTACCGTCCATCATATTATGGACCACCTTCAGGCCTTTCTCTTGTCTCAGCATCATTTTCCTCTTGCTATCCTAGTAACAGATGCAAACTGCTTCGTAATACTGCCTCTCAGTTGTACGGCGGAACCACCAGCTACTCTTAAATTTGAATCTAGGCGAATATATTTCTATTGAACATGCGATGGTTGCTGCGCACACCCTACCTTACAAGCAAACATCTCTGGAAAACAATGAGCATTGTGCCTCTGCAAAAACTAATTTTCAATTTTGACAAAGTTTGATTAAAGCAATCGCTAATTTAAAACTCAATTAGACTTTAAGCATTCTCTGACGTTTCTGCATATCTCTACAACATTAATTTTCAATTCCGAATGTTTGTTTTAAACTATTGTTAGCTACGTTTTGAATGTTGTTTGGTTTTTACCTGCACTGAAATTAAATCAGTTAATAACTTCAGAAAGAAAGTTTTCTCAGAGAAAAATCTAATCAGAAATACACATTTTCTCTACTTAACTTCGACAAAATTTTAGTCATGTTCTCTCCGTCCGTTTTTTTCAGATGAAAATCTCATCAGAGCCGAGATGTATGATGTACGATATACTTTCAATATCTTTCATTGAATGGATTTCATTTATTCTTCCAGTGATGAATTATTAATTTTTTTTCGGAACGTTTCGTAAACCACGCTACTGGAGAGCTTTAGATTCGAGGACGAGGAAACCTACGATTACGAGATTTTCTCAACACTAACTGAGAGTAGTAGCTAGTAGTGCACGCGCGTGAGTCAGGGTCATTAGTGAGTTTACGCAACAGAACGGCAGGAAGAAGAGGACGGCAAAACACTTCCGTGTGACAAACGTAACAGGGCTATAACTTGCGTGTTATGTCGTGATATTCACTTAACATTAATGTTTTTTGGTCTTTACAAAAAAGATCTGTTTAAAGGAAAGTTAAGATTGGTGAAAAGTTGTTTCAGACAAAATAATTGTCACGCTTCCTCTTCCGTCCTGTTGCGTAAGTTCACTATTTTGACGGGAAAAGTGACAACCGTCGAAACGGACATGCGTTTTTTTTTACGTTAACATTTATCAAAGAAACTCTTTCTGTCTTGTAAATAAAGTTATATATACTTAAAGAAACATGGGAACAGGGCTGCTAGGTAAATTCATCCTCGCTGTGGAATTCATCTACAAACAATCTCCAATATTCTGTCAAAAAAATGACAGCCCAGAAAAAGAACCTTTTTTCCTTATTCAGAGTTGTTGAAAGAATGTTAAAGGTAATCTGACAAAGGTCATTCTCACAAAAAATGCAAGTCGTAAATGAGTTATTGAAAAAGGTCCTGTCAGCCAATTCAATAGAACCTAAACCCTAACCTAACCCTAAACTTAACCCGCCCCTGGACACGTCATCTTATACCCAAGGCCGTGGGTATGTAGAGATTTTCACCATAGAGACTCAATAGATAGGGAAACCACGCGTGCTATATGCTAAAAAGTTTCTTTTCTGATCAGTTACTTGTAATAGCATATTAAGAAACAAGTGCATGTGACAGCAGTTTCTCTAGTAAGAAAAAAAAATTTTTTTTTCAAAAACAAAATCGCTCGCGTGAACAAAACATTACTCAACATAAATTCTAAGCATGATTACCAATAAGCTTGGTACGTTTCAAAAGAAAGTGAAGGGACTTCAATAAATCACAGTCATATCCGGGTGCAAGTGAATCCGTTATTTTTTATTGGCAGCAAATTGTTAACAACAAGTTTACTATTTTTGAAGAGCTTTTAATTAATACATTTCTATTGCCAGTTTTGTCTCTGTGATAGAGTTTTAAAGTCTAAAATTTGTAGTAATTGAATCCCCAGTTATGCGTTTTTTAATAAATTTATTTAGATGTGTGAACAAGAGTACTTAGTCAGGTTAGAGAATACTATTATAAGTAGGATGAACATTTTCTTTATGTCGACAATCGAATACAGCAAAGTAAGATTTTGAATCGTATCAGTTTAAGGCAAAAAAGCAAAACCAAACAACGCAAAAAAGGGGAAAAAAACATTGATTTCAGGTTATTTCCAGTCCATTCTACCCTGATTTACTATGAAAAAAAGTGTGATAATAACATACAATGAACTGTTCAGATTAATCTGCTCCTTAGAGGCTTTTTCTATCTCCAAGCCCGGCGGTATTAAGACTGTTCAAGTGGAATCTCCATCTCACTTTTGTTTTTCTTCTTCTTGGGAGCCATTGGCGTCTGGCTTGACCTCCCTGCCGTCTCCACCCGGTTTCCTACCTTCGTTGCCGGGATTTCCGCCTGTAAGAGCAGCTTTCTTCAACTTTGCAACAGCACTGTAAAGCCTTTCAGCAAACACAGTCAGTCCCTCCTAATGCGTTAATGCGCTTGGAAGTGCCTCTTCTCCAACGGCTCTGGTCAGCTCGTACAACATTATCTGCGGATCCACTTTCTCCAGGTCTAAAATGCCGACCTGCATGCAGTAGCAGAAAGCATTCGTGCATTCGTCCTTCAATCCTTTCGAAGCGAAAGTGTACTTATACATCATGTAGTCAAGTCGAAGCAGGCTGTTGTTGGCGTAGATGACGTGAAAATCAGTCTTCTCGGCCTCGCCTGCTGATGTGTCGCCCAAAACCTCGTTAAGAGCTACACTTAGGAGGTTTTTTAACCCGCCTAAGAAATCGCCACTCATGACCTCGCCTATGGCACTTTTAATATCTTTATCTGGCGTGCTTTCGACCTTGATTTGGTATTTTTCTGACTTATCCACAACGGATACAATAGGAAGGCTTTTGTCCTCCACCGCCTCGTCCCCTATCTTGTTGGATGCTGCTGTAATCTTATCGACCATCATATTATGGACCATCTGCAGCTTTTCTTTTGTCTCGGTATCATTTTTGTCTTGCATCTCTTTTATCTTGTCTGTTATGTTCCCCATTACCGGATTACTTTTTCATACGAATCCCACTAGCTGATACGATCTGCTTCACAAGACTACCTTTCAGTCGTACAGCGAACCATCAACTCCTCATAAATTTGAACCCTTGGCGTATATATTTCGATTGAACATGCGATGGTTGCTGCGCACACCCCACCTTACTAGCAAATATCTTTGGAAAACAATGAGCATTGTGCCTCTGCGAAAACTAATTTTCAAATTTGACAAACTTTGATTTACTCAGTTACTCAGACTCAGACTTTGAGCATGCTCTCATGTTTCTGCAAATCTCTACAACAGTTATGAATGTTTGCTAAAAAACTATTGTTAGGATATTATTTTTAATCAATCTAGACCAAGTTTTGAATGTTGTTTGGCTTTTACTTACACAGAAATTGAATCAGTTAATGACTTCCGAAAAAAAGGTTTTTCCAAGAGAAAAATCTAAATAAATGAAATATGCAGTTTCTCTAGTTTAAAAAAAAAATTTCAGAAGAAAATCTCATCAGAGCTTCGCAGTTAAAGTAAACTTAGAAAATTACGACTTGATGTCCAGTCTCTCATGGATAAGGGAACAGCAGGAACACAGGTGTTTCATGTCGTGAATCTTCAAATGAGTCAAATGAAGATGAAGATGACTGCCGTTAAATGGGATCTGGTTGTGAAAACTATAGTGAGAATCAAATGCAAAAACCAAAAACTGAGGTGTATATGAGGATCGAGTTCAATTCCCTGACCGTGCCAAACGTTTGTATCACCTATGACTTACGTTGCTACTGGTTACTTAGTGCAGCATGATTAGAACAATGCTATTACGCGTTGTGCACGGTACGCAGCTAAAAAAAAGCTAACCGATACAGTTAACCTCTTTTGATTTATTATATCTTTCTCATCGAATACATTTCATTTATTCTTTTATGGCTGTTTTTTCTTTCGAAATGTTTCGTAAACCAAGCTACCAATAGCTTAAAACCGGGGTCGGGTTGTACTTCCTATAAGGGTCTATAGGCCCGAAACCGGTGCCCTTTTCAGGCTTCAGGTATATGAAAAGGTAGAGAATTAACAGTTTTAAGTATATTGAGGGGTATGGAACTCCGTCATTTCGGTCTGTAAAAAGACTTAAAAGCAGGCTTTGACTGCGCAACCGGGACAAGAAATTTTCCTGGTTTCGTGATTTATTCATAATTTTGGTTTTCACCCATAGATCCTCCTGAGTTTTTACTTTCAAGAAGTATTAGAGCGGCTAAAAACATATTTTTCANTTTCATACGAATCCCACTAGCTGATACGATCTGCTTCACAAGACTACCTTTCAGTCGTACAGCGAACCATCAACTCCTCATAAATTTGAACCCTTGGCGTATATATTTCGATTGAACATGCGATGGTTGCTGCGCACACCCCACCTTACTAGCAAATATCTTTGGAAAACAATGAGCATTGTGCCTCTGCGAAAACTAATTTTCAAATTTGACAAACTTTGATTTACTCAGTTACTCAGACTCAGACTTTGAGCATGCTCTCATGTTTCTGCAAATCTCTACAACAGTTATGAATGTTTGCTAAAAAACTATTGTTAGGATATTATTTTTAATCAATCTAGACCAAGTTTTGAATGTTGTTTGGCTTTTACTTACACAGAAATTGAATCAGTTAATGACTTCCGAAAAAAAGGTTTTTCCAAGAGAAAAATCTAAATAAATGAAATATGCAGTTTCTCTAGTTTAAAAAAAAAATTTCAGAAGAAAATCTCATCAGAGCTTCGCAGTTAAAGTAAACTTAGAAAATTACGACTTGATGTCCAGTCTCTCATGGATAAGGGAACAGCAGGAACACAGGTGTTTCATGTCGTGAATCTTCAAATGAGTCAAATGAAGATGAAGATGACTGCCGTTAAATGGGATCTGGTTGTGAAAACTATAGTGAGAATCAAATGCAAAAACCAAAAACTGAGGTGTATATGAGGATCGAGTTCAATTCCCTGACCGTGCCAAACGTTTGTATCACCTATGACTTACGTTGCTACTGGTTACTTAGTGCAGCATGATTAGAACAATGCTATTACGCGTTGTGCACGGTACGCAGCTAAAAAAAAGCTAACCGATACAGTTAACCTCTTTTGATTTATTATATCTTTCTCATCGAATACATTTCATTTATTCTTTTATGGCTGTTTTTTCTTTCGAAATGTTTCGTAAACCAAGCTACCAATAGCTTAAAACCGGGGTCGGGTTGTACTTCCTATAAGGGTCTATAGGCCCGAAACCGGTGCCCTTTTCAGGCTTCAGGTATATGAAAAGGTAGAGAATTAACAGTTTTAAGTATATTGAGGGGTATGGAACTCCGTCATTTCGGTCTGTAAAAAGACTTAAAAGCAGGCTTTGACTGCGCAACCGGGACAAGAAATTTTCCTGGTTTCGTGATTTATTCATAATTTTGGTTTTCACCCATAGATCCTCCTGAGTTTTTACTTTCAAGAAGTATTAGAGCGGCTAAAAACATATTTTTCACACATTGTCAGATCGAAAGCTTCTTCGTTTTGTGATCATGTTCGCTTGAATTTCTTAACTTTTGCGTGATACGGCGTTTACTTGGAGAGAGAGCTGTCGTGTAGGTTGAAAAAGTGACTTTCTTTCCTGGATTTTCCATTCTGGATAGTCCTTGTTTAAGAAAAAAATATTACTTCAATGTTTATGAGTACCTCGAGAGATGAATTTATGCTTTCGTAGCAAAACTCGTTTACAGATGTTTCTATTAGTTTCCAGCGTCACCTGCAAAGCTCTGCAAATATATCGTGTGAGACGAACTTTTTGAGTTTATTTTTGCGGATTGGCGATTTTTTTGTGTTTTTGCGGGAGCTCATGATATTTTGCGATTAGGCAACAATGGTTTTTCTTGCTGGGAATTAATTTTCGGGACTTTCAGAAATTACCGGACCCAGCATTGATAAAATTTTCGTTTTTATTGAGTACTTTTGTACGTGTAACAGAAATGAATACGCCAAACAATACTCACGGTGTGAGTATCCTATGTAAAACCAGTAATAAATTGTGCACAGTTTTGTTTCTGAAGGAAAGAGATAAAGTTGTAATTGAACAGAAACAAAATCTTGGTACTGTATTTTTGCGTAGCGAATTTATGTTAGAGAATATTAACTCTGGAGTAAATTTTTGCGGGGAAAATGTTTGCGGTTATAGTTTTATTTGTGGGAACTTTTTTTGCGGATCGCTGGAAAAATTGCAAAAATCGCAAACAAAAATTAGAACCCGTGCCACACGGTATATGAAAGGGGAACCTTTTCTGTCAGAAATGGTATATGCATGTATAAAACTAGGGGTCGGACCTTGATGCCGAGCTTCCCCGTTTGTAACTTCGTTGAGTGTCTCCCCCAGATCAAGTGATCGCCCTGATGTTGTTTTAAACGGCGATAAAACAAAGAGAAATATGGGGAAAGGGCTGCTAGGTAAATTCAATATCGCTGTGGAATTCATTTACAAACAATCTCCAATATTCTGTTAAAAAAATGACAACCCAGAAAAAGAACCTTTTTTTCTTATTCAGGGTTGTTGATAAAGAACGTTAAAGGTAATCTGACAAAGGTCATTCTCAAGAAAAATGCAGGACCTAATTGAAAAGGGTCCCGCCAGCCAATTCAATTGAACATGTCGATTAATTGCGTATATCAGGTTATGTTTGAAGGGCATGTATGAAACGTTTTTGCTGTTAGTTTAAGTGACTAGGAACTCAATTTCAAAACGCTAGAAAGTTTCATCTTTATCGCCGAGTACTAGAGACTTTATTGAAAGCAAAATTATAAGAGAATCAAAGTTGAATGAACACAACCGCCCCTGGACACGTCATCTTATGCCCATTGCAAGGCCCTGCGTATGTAGAGTTTTTCACCATAGAGACTCAATAGATAGGGAAGCCACGCGTGCGATATGCTCAAAAGTTTTCCTCTTTCCTGATCAGTTAGCAGCATATTCAAGAATCCAGTGTAGGTGACAGTTGTTTCTCTAGTAAAGAGAAATAAATGTTTTTTTTTTTTAAACAAACTCGTGCGCGTGAACAATACTTTATTTCCCATAAATTCTAAGCATGATTACCAATAAGAATGATTAAAAAGCTCTTGGGACTTTTCATGAGAAAGTGAGTTTCATGCAGCGCTTATCATAAAGAGACTTTAATAAATCACAATCATATCCAGGTGCAAGTGAGTCCGTTCTTTTTCAGATGCAGCAGGTTGTTAGCAACAAGTCATTGACAAGTTTACCATGCTAGTTTTGACGAGCTTTCAATTAATACATTTTTGGCAGCCAGTTTTGTCTCTACGGTAGAATTTTAAAGTCTAAATTTTTTTGTAAGGAATTGAATTCCCAATTATCCCTTTTTAGAAAAATTATTTAGATGTGTAAACAAGAGTATTTCTTAGTCAGGTTAGACTGATACTATTATAAATGGGGTGGTACTTCTTAGTCAGGTTAGAGTGATGCTATTATAAATGAGATGTAGAATTTTTTTATGTCGGGAATCGAATACAGCAAAGTACGTTTTTGAATAGTATCAGTTTTATTAAGGCAAAAAAGCAAAACTAAACAATGCAAAACAAAAGAAAAAAATTTTTATTATCCTGTCATCAAAATCAAAATGTTTAGCATAACAATTCAAAACTACGTTTCACTGTCTTTAAAAACCCTGCCCAAAGTTGAATCATTTCAGTGGCTACAGAGAGCGACCAAGGCTTAGAAGAAACA